CCGTAGACACAACTTTTTCAAGTAACTTTTTGTTAAATTCGATCTAGAAATGCACTTTTTCAATTTTTTTCAAAGAAAAAGTTGAATTTGACAAACAGTGGGTCGCAGTTGGCCGCATCATTTTAAGTTAAATTCAAAGCACAAACAAGTGCCGAAGTTAAACTTCATTGAAACTTTTCGAAAAAAAAGTTTCCCATATGGTGCGCACTTTAATGGTGACACTGTATAATATACTTCACGACGTTTCGATTGCTAGTATTCATAATTGTCTTCGGGTGATGACTGGACTAATTCCTCCGAGAGATGACTATGAGTCATTCGAGTACTTTCACTTATCTTCTCTTTCCTCTTTCCGCTTCACCGATTTAGTGAGAAATGACCGTTTGGCGGTAGTTGGGCCATTTTTCGCTTGATTATGAGTTTTCATATGTAGCGCTAGCTTGGATGAATACATTGTTGGACAACATGTATGCAGCTTCTTTGAATTTCCTCCTGAACCAATGTTTTTCCCTGTGTATGATCTCAGCTTGGAACCACTCGATGTTATGTTGATGGGTCCAAACATGCTCTGCTATTCCTGATTTGCTGGTTTCCCCTCGGTGTGTGTGTTTGTTGTGCTCGAAAATGCGAATTTTCAATGGTCTCTTAGTTTCACTGATATAGGATTTTCCGCACTCACAGGGTCCAGTCATCACCCGAAGACGATTGTGGATACTAACAATAGAATCGTCATGAAATCACTTTTTGTTCAATTGTTCTATTTTTCACTTGTATTTTATTCCCCAGTAATCATTTTATATAATATTAGACAATGGGAAGTCCGAACTATTGAAATTCATCATGAAACATTGTTAATCACCTTCAAACAAACCTACATTAATTAGTTGATTCTTCAATTTGGAATTCAGATTTTTTGCGATATGTATAATGAATTGCGTTTACAAAAACATCCAAGACACTCTTCGTCACTCAGTTAGAGGTGAATAATTCCGTTGTACTTGTAGAAGTGTAGAATTTGAAAAGTTTCCAAGAAACATAATCCCTGTTGTTATCCCCAAAGTTGATTTACTAAATATTTGTTGAATAATAGATTCCCTGATTCTCTCTCTCTCTCTCTCTCTCGTGTATTTGGGAGATATTTGATAACATTCTGCCTACTTTCTGTTGGTTTGATGATTATTTTCTTCACAGATACCGTATAAACTCGTTTAAAGTTCATACGCTTCATAATAGGGTGAACAATTAGAGGTTGCCGGATTCGGCTTGCTGGTATAATGAAATGAGACATTCCAAGAGTTGCTGCTCAAAATACGATCACATAAAACTATTTGGGAAACTTTCACTTTCGGATTTATGAAAATATTCAGTGAAAAAATCTACATAACTTCTCCACAAAAATGTGGGAAACTTCTGAAGAAAGGAAGAACGAGAATAACTGCAATATGTGTATGTAGGGCATACACAGAAGTTTTTTCAGGTAAAAACTCAAAGAAACAACTTCCATGAACATTGAATCACAGAAAAATAATTTTTTTTCATTTATTTTGTACTACAAACATTCGTTATGGATTCGAAGTAGGTATCATTTATAGGAACACTACGTTAAGTAATAGGAGTAAATCAAAGAGTATTGATGTAACATTTTACTCAGATACTGGTAACAGTATCATCATTAATGGTGTACTTCGAAGTTTCGGGACCAAACACTCATTTTATCACTTATCAGCAACGTTCTGGATAACATTAGAAGACGAAGTACTCATTTCTCTCATAACATTACGACATTTTGTCGCCATCAGAAACAAATCTATTCTTGCAACAATGGCATTAGGTATACACATGCATGCGGTTAGTTAATCTCACCCTTGAGAATTTTATTTGATTGAAAATGAGACTATTTTAATAAGAGATTAGTTTTTTGAAAAAAAAATGTATTGGATTTTCACTGTTCCATCATTAAATCTGAAGAACTTTCAAAGAAAGGAAAAAAAGTGCAACGAAAAACTCTTCATAAAATTATGAAGAGCATATGCGTTCCACCAACCAAGTTGACCTCTTCAGGAGGTAAAGACGCCAACTTGGTAGGTGAACAGGGCATCGAGAGGAGTATTTCATTTCTGGTGACTTGAAAAAATGCTTGATTTTGTATTTATCGTAGGCAAGAAGTTTCAGTTTGGCCTTGTATCAAATATTGGAAATCATTTAAAACTATGTATTATTTTCCATATAAGTGCATTCTCATAAAGCTCAAGATCGAAATGAAATCAATAATTATAGACCTATTTCAATCCTAAACAACTTTCCCAAGCTTCTAGAAGCAATTCTGTATAGTCGTATTTATCAATCCTCTCGACATATAATATCTGAT